AGAAACTCTTTTTCTTTTCTTTTTCAAAATAAATTTCCTTCTTTTTGGGCTTTGGAGCCTTTTTGGGTAAAGAGTTTGATCTCACCAGGGTACTGGAATTGCACACCCATATTTGCCAAAATCTTTAGTGTGGGTGTGTCTTCACAAATATTCTATTTGTGTCTGCATTCTTTAACACTACAGACCTCCAAGCCTTAATCAAATTGTAGACCCTCTCAAACAAGAACTATGGAAACATTGCCCCAAATATTTCTTCTTCTCCTGTACTGTATTTTCATGGGATATTTATTCTACTTTTATTTCTCTTCAGAGGTATAAAAGCATAGCTTTCCAGTATGTTTTTGCAGTGACAATTCTTCTTTAGAACTATTCAACAGCTAAAGATCCATAAGTCATGTCTGCTATATATCATAAAATAGCATAAGATAGCATAAAGCAGGAGGATGAGGAACATCTGGCTCTTCACATAAGGTTAGACTGCAACTCCTATCAGCCAGTTAAACAAAAAGTAAAGTTGATAGGAATTGGAATCTAACAATGTCTGGAGGGCCATGCTTTCATCCAACTGTTTCCCCACCCCCGCTTTTTATTTGATTTAGCAAAAATACATAATAAACACTGCATATAATTACATATAACTCATATAAGACATGTATGTCACCCACAGACCCCCAAACAGACATACATAAAATATAATCAGTCTACCTCATACATTCTAAACGAGCTTCTCAAGAGAAATAAAATAAAATATAACAAAGTAAAAAAATACAAAAAACAAAAAACACCCACATATATATCTATATACAAATGAAAATGAAAAAGAGCAGCATATATTGAACAAATTTCACATTCCCATTTATCCATTTCCCGACATTGATTTATAACTATCGTATAAGCAGCTATATCTATTTCCTGTTTTTAACTGTTATCTTCCTTATTATTCCATATATTCCATCTATATGTCACTATAATGTTTACAAGTTATACCACTTCTATCTATGAATCTTCATTTATTGACATCAACTTCTACATTAATTTCTCTTTTCCGATGTTCCTAAGTCATAATAATTAAGAAGCGTCATTATTTACTTACATATTATTCATTCCAGATTTTATCACAAAAATCGTAAAGACTATTCCATTTCACTATCTTTATATTTGTACATCTTTCCTCCTTTTTGTCTGATAGATTATCCATCTTTGATAGTTCAACCATCTTTAATAACCAAGCGTTTATTGTAGGAAGTTCTTCGGATTTCCATTTGCTCGCTACCAAAAGCCTAGCCGCCGTTACCATGTAAAGGAGTATTTTCCATACTCTTTCTCGATCTGTCTTATTAATTGTTTCCACCATATTTAGAAGGTATATCTCCGGATTCACCCACCTGTTTTAAAGATTTATGTGATTTAATTATTTTTACGTCTATTCCTTCCCTTTCTGTGACAAGTGTGAAGATGCTGAGCCTCACATGTAAATTTATACAAGCATTTTAAAACAAAGTGTGCATGTATGAATAACCCAGAGTTTGGAAAAACTATAATGTGAAAAGATTATAGGTAACAACTATAATGTGCTACCTACTGTGATAACAAGGATATAATGACATTATTTGTGAAGTAACAAAGACCTATAATGCTGTTACTTTTTCTGGGCAATAAGTACAGTTTACTTGTTATTCCTACTACTTTGTTGCAGGAACTTTTGGGGCTTTTCCCCTATTTTAAAGTATAGCTTTATGAAAAATATGAAAAAGGGAAACATTGAACTATTTTTTAAAATGATAATTACTAGCCCTAACATGTTAATTAAAAAAATTCCATGATATGGTTCAAGCAGGCATGTGTTCGTTCCTTGACTTCTAGTGGCTTACCTATTTGCTTTCTTGCCTTGGGTGCTTTGGTTACATGTCACAGATGCATACTACATATGTCTCAGAGCATTAATTATCTAAAAGGACTCTTGTTTTGAGGCAGTTCCCTTGCTAGTCTTCTCCAAAGAAGATTCATTGAGGAAGACCCTGATTTCATTATTTCTCCACTTAAGATCTTCCTGTATTTATCTGAGCACACATACCCTGCCTTTTGGCTCAAAAATGCCATTGTATAGAAATGTAATACTAAAATGTGTAATATAAAATATGTAATGTATCTGAAGGAGCAGCCTGCTAATTGTAAAGGGACAGCAAAATATTTGTGGGAGGATTTAGGAGGTAAGGGCTTTTAAAAAGCATGCTCTTCTTTTGTAAGCTAATACACATGGGAGGAGAGACATGAGAAAAGGATGGTGAATGCTTATACTGTTGAACAGTGAAGAGCTGAGAAAAGGTAAGTGTCTAAAAAATACACACATGCATGCACACATGCACATGTGTACACACACAGAGCATAATCTGTTTATGTTCCCAAAGCAGCATAGAGAAGAAAGTCACAGGACATCCTCTGAAGTGAAGGAAAATCCTTCCACCCCTAGGTCCTGCTGACATGACATTAGCAAACAAGTGCTGCTCTAAAACAAATAATATAGAACAGAATACAAAACACACAAAACAGCAAACACCTTTATTAGCCAATCAAAATGCTTCACAAGCTTCTTCATCAGGCAAAGATATTTAAAATCATACAGGAGAAGAAGCAAGATGATGTTAGAGTCACAAGCCTACACTTTGACTCAGATCTTACTTTTGTTGTCTGGAAGAAGCCAATAAAGTCTCAAAGCTAGTACGATATATTTTGTGCATTTTGGTTGGTCA